CATTTAGACCCCACAAAATAAGGCGGAAATGATCGATCTTATTTCTGGCTTTATTTTGAAGTAAATAACCACAAAACCAATATAAAAACACCACTTTTATAAAGTTTGAAGTCCGTGCTGTCCAACAGAGTCGAAATGAAAACTCGGTATGCGTCCATGTTATTACGAAGCCTTATTAATGCGTCATGCTTGTACGCCACACGGCGGGCAGCGACTCCAAATCACATACCTGATGGTGTTACTTGTGGTGTTTACGTGTCCAAACAGAGAGGAATATCAAGTAATGTCGATAAGTTGTACTGCAATAAAATCTCATCTAAATGATACAAATTAACAGCCAATGTTGTTGTTGGTGATATCCAAACTGACAAGCCAAAATTATAATAATAAACGTTCCTACATTACTGTCAGACACACCAACAGATTATGTATCTACAGTATTAGTCTGGGTGTTTTCTACCGGGAAACAGTTTGCAGGCTGTTGACGAGGGGAAATAAACTTAAAAACAGAACGAGCCGCATTAAGATTAACTAGTGACAGCCAAACGGGTTCCTCAACCAGATGTTTGTAAAAAATTGGGTGGCTTTGTTGTTTCCTGGTCAAAATGAGACAAACGTAAATAAATGGATATGAAAATGTCTCTACATTCTCTAAGAGCCCTTCAAAACATAATAATTCCTTGTATATGAAGGAATATTTAAGAATATATTCAAAGATCACTAAAATATACCCCCACTTCAGGAAGAGACTGTACTAAACAGTCCGAATTTGTACAACCACCCAGCATCTTATGTTGACTGTCATGCTCTGCAAACATATCAATCAATGTAAACAGTTACATTGATGAACAGATGAACCCAGATGAAGATTTAATTATCAGCCCAGACAGTCCAGTTCAGGCGGCAGCAGGAAACTTAGCAGCAGCTAAGTACCGGTAGCAACTGAAAACTAAAGACTGAAGACGAGAGCTGAGTCGGCACAGGACTTCTCAGTACAACTGTGTGCAACAACAACAACTTACAAATGACAAGGATCTGACAAGAGACAGAGACAACAGGTGGACTTAAACACACAGGAAGTAATTAGGGGAACTAGATACACCTGGGAAACAATTAGGGAGCAGACAGGACAACACAGAGATTCACAGGGAACAGGATCACAACAAACACAGAAAACTCAAATCCTAACACAAATATTATAAAGGTGTAAGAGCAACTCAAATGAAAATATCCAAATAAATTTAGCCACCAGTTAATCTATAACACCGATCAGAGAGCGACAGACGCTGAGAGCATTAACCAGAACACACAGTGTTAGGGTCACACACACACACACACACACACACACACACACAGGCCGGTCTGTCAGGAACTCCCAGGCCTCTTTCTCTCCACATTTCGCTCCTGGGCTGTTGCATGATTAAGATAAGAAAAACTCCAGAGGACAAACTAATCTGGGTATTTCAATCTTATTTCTGAAAAGTCAAGAAAAGACTCACTTGTCAGTGTTGCTGAAGGCAATAACTCAGGATTGTGCTTTTAGTGTTGATGGAGGAATGTGTAAATGGCTTTGCATTGTTCAAGATCCTTTCCTTCACTGAGGAGCTCAAATATTTGGAGAAAACCTCCAAGGAATCTTTAAAATAAGGTGCAGAACGGCCAGGTCCACTTTACTTGTGACCAGGATGAGTAAGGGGAAGGGTCGGGGTCAGAAGGTCAATCCTGAAGATATTCTTCACATTCCTGATTGTTAGAGNACCTTGTTGTGATGAAGAGTCAAAGCAGCAGCAGGACTCACTGGAAGCAGTGTGCCTTCAACCAGGGAATGGAGGCTTTATAAAGCTTCACTGATGATCTGACAGAGGAACAAAATGTCTTTACTCCTTCAACAATTCAGCCTGTGGAGTTTTTCTGACCAGAAGTTCAGGTTGGTGATGGTGTGTCACACCTGCAGCCATTTCTCCTCATTCCTGGTGATAAATCACTGATCATCTCTTCATAGCCCCCAGCCCAGCTAGCAGGTCACACCAGACTGAAAATGTTGGGATGGAAAAACCCGGTTGGGTTTTAGATACTGGCTGCAGCAGCCAGGTGGGATTTTCTGTTAACAAAGATTCTTGGTCTTGATGTGGACCGTGATTCTGTCAGCGTCTCCATCTGCTCTCTGGTTTATACAGGAATCATAAACCATTAATGTCTTTATCTGCTCTATGAAATCCCAGTTATTTTACTCTTGGATGAGTTCAATATTTAAAACCTTACTAATATCTCTGGAGACATGTTGGAGCTAACGATTCCTTCTGAATTTGCAAAATATGAAATCCTGATATATGATAATTATAACCCTCACACTGATAGAAGACATTTCACTAGCAAAACATAACAAAGACTTTTATATTTCTAAGTCTAAACACAATACCTTGCTACCAAATATACATGTAAATACACCAGTTGTTTGGTGACTGAGTCTCAGGTGTATGATGAAGTTTAACTTATATAATCAAACCCCTTTACCATTCAGTATTTCATAACATAAATAATATTCCCATTTCCCATTTCACCTTCTAAAAGAAAAAAAATATTTCCTCAACCAGTTGAAAATGATACATACACATATATACACATACACATCTACGTGCATATGTACGTACATAATGTATACCCATTTATACAAACACATAAACTTACACCCAGTTGCCCAAGTCATCAACAGAGCTGTAATTCGCAGCCAAACTCATCATCCCTGTTCATTTGAATAATAACTATTTTGAGACTTTTCTTAAAATACTTCATGCTTGGACTTTGCTTCAACTCTTTGGTGAGTTTATTCCAGATCTTCACTCCAGTGACTGAGATGCACATTGTTTTCATCGATGTTGGAACATGTGAAGTTTTCTCTATAGTCGTAGCCCCCCTCCCTATCAGAACACAATTTTTGAATATTTTCAGAGAATAGTTTTTTCTAGTTATGTATATAAACTGCACAGTTTGAAACTACCAAATCTAGGAGTTTCAGGAAGTAAGAATCTATGACAATAAAAATCAACCTTGTGAACTATTCCAATGTAGCCTAGCATGTATTTGTGGCTCAGATCCTGCAATGCAACTGCACTGTTTCTGAACTTTCTTCTCTTTTGGAGACACTAATCACAGTGAATGTTGCTAAACAATGAGATCATCATATTTAACCCTTTAAAGTCGAGGTCTAAATGGCCATCCCGGCGTGGAGTCTCTCTTCTCTGTGCGTCAGCGCTCGGTATGAAGCCATGTAGCGATAGCTAGCAAAACTACTACTAACCCTGCACACACCACGAACTCTAACTAACACACTTATAGTCTAAAAAACCCATCGAAACACTCTTAGTAAAATCCACAGCATCACTGTGCCCTAGTCTCTTGCCGTAGCCAAATCCCCCCCACCCCCCCTCCTCGTCTCTTTCCGGGTGTCTCCATTCTACCTAGCAACAGACCGTCAACTCATTTTTATTGGTTGTTTCGAAATGTGGTACATTTAGACCCCACAAAATAAGGCGGAAATGATCGATCCTATTTCTGGCTTTATTTTGAAGTAAATAACCACAAAACCAATATAAAAACACCACTTTTATAAAGTTTGAAGTCCGTGCTGTCCAACAGAGTCGAAATGAAAACTCGGTATGCGTCCATGTTATTACGAAGCCTTATTAATGCGTCATGCTTGTACGCCACACGGCGGGCAGCGACTCCAAATCACATACCTGATGGTGTTACTTGTGGTGTTTACGTGTCCAAACAGAGAGGAATATCAAGTAATGTCGATAAGTTGTACTGCAATAAAATCTCATCTAAATGATACAAATTAACAGCCAATGTTGTTGTTGGTGATATCCAAACTGACAAGCCAAAATTATAATAATAAACGTTCCTACATTACTGTCAGACACACCAACAGATTATGTATCTACAGTATTAGTCTGGGTGTTTTCTACCGGGAAACAGTTTGCAGGCTGTTGACGAGGGGAAATAAACTTAAAAACAGAACGAGCCGCATTAAGATTAACTAGTGACAGCCAAACGGGTTCCTCAACCAGATGTTTGTAAAAAATTGGGTGGCTTTGTTGTTTCCTGGTCAAAATGAGACAAACGTAAATAAATGGATATGAAAATGTCTCTACATTCTATAAGAGCCCTTCAAAACATAATAATTCCTTGTATATGAAGGAATATTTAAGAATATATTCAAAGATCACTAAAATATACCCCCACTTCAGGAGGAGACTGTACTAAACAGTCCGAATTTGTACAACCACCCAGCATCTTATGTTGACTGTCATGCTCTGCAAACATATCAATCAATGTAAACAGTTATGATATCATCTACCTCCAAAATGTTGGCAGCAAGTGAATATTATTTTGTAGACAATATAAACTGGTCCAAGAACTGAAACAGACGATGCTAACTGAACCAGCGGTTGCTGAGTTTCGAGCTGTTTTAACCACCAAACTATGATGACAGCCGATGTTCCTACCTGTCGTTGATTCTCGTCTAACGAACACCTCGCTTTAGGAAGCAGACATGGATTAACTGGTGACACTTTCAGAATCTCAGTTTGAGTGAAGATTTTAACCCGTTTCTGATGTAAAAGTTTATAAGACAAGTGTTTTTTCAGCACTGTCTCTCATGGTTGAGTATTAGGGTCATTTGATGAAAAGAATAAAGATGGTTAGTTAAATTACGAGAAAAAATATTGAAGAAATGACACATGGATCTGCAGTAGCCAGGTCTTGTGTAAATGAACTAGTGTGACCGGTGGACCTCTGCGCTGTGTGTTATGTGGCGATTGGAAAAACCACAAGACACCAAGTCTGGAGGTGGTTTCCGTTTATTTAATCTGTCAATCGGGAGATATTAGCGCTCCAGTTCTCCAACCTGATCTATACAAAATGACTGTGTTAGCATGCATCAAATTGTCAAGATGTGGTTTGTGGTGGTGAGAATGAACCCAGATGAACCCAGATGAAGATTTAATTATCAGCCCAGACAGTCCAGTTCAGGCGGCAGCAGGAAACTTAGCAGCAGCTAAGTACCGGTAGCAACTGAAAACTAAAGACTGAAGACGAGAGCTGAGTCGGCACAGGACTTCTCAGTACAACTGTGTGCAACAACAACAACTTACAAATGACAAGGATCTGACAAGAGACAGAGACAACAGGTGGACTTAAACACACAGGAAGTAATTAGGGGAACTAGATACACCTGGGAAACAATTAGGGAGCAGACAGGACAACACAGAGATTCACAGGGAACAGGATCACAACAAACACAGAAAACTCAAATCCTAACACAAATATTATAAAGGTGTAAGAGCAACTCAAATGAAAATATCCAAATAAATTTAGCCACCAGTTAATCTATAACACCGATCAGAGAGCGACAGACGCTGAGAGCATTAACCAGAACACACAGTGTTAGGGTCACACACACACACACACACACACACACACACAGAGGCGGGTGTGTCGGGGACTCCCAGGCCTCTTTCTCTCCACATTTCGCTCCTGGGCTGTTGCATGATTAAGATAAGAAAAACTCCAGAGGACAAACTAATCTGGGTATTTCAATCTTATTTCTGAAAAGTCAAGAAAAGACTCACTTGTCAGTGTTGCTGAAGGCAATAACTCAGGATTGTGCTTTTAGTGTTGATGGAGGAATGTGTAAATGGCTTTGCATTGTTCAAGATCCTTTCCTTCACTGAGGAGCTCAAATATTTGGAGAAAACCTCCAAGGAATCTTTAAAATAAGGTGCAGAACGGCCAGGTCCACTTTACTTGTGACCAGGATGAGTAAGGGGAAGGGTCGGGGTCAGAAGGTCAATCCTGAAGATATTCTTCACATTCCTGATTGTTAGAGCTTATTTAACCTTTTGCTGTTTCCCAGAAGTCAGAGTGTTAATGTCAGGCTTAAGGTGTTAGTTTGGAAAAACCGGTTGGATTTTATCCTGTTGCTAAACAGAACTGATGATTTATTTCCTAAAGTTTGCTTTAAACATTTCATCTTTGAGAAGGAGCTCTTATGATTAGATATCACACCATCCACACCACATATTTATGCCTAAATCTTAATCCTCATTCAACATAAATAATCATAAACATGAACATGAACCTCCAGTCCCAGACAAAGCAGCACAGACTGGTGCAGAAACATCCACATCACATTTACAGATAACGGTTCTCTCTGTGCTTTTCCAGAATCCCAAGGCCTGAGAAACGACCTGGTGACCATTTCCAGACTGAAATATCAAAGATTTATTTCTTCTCTCTTCCTAAATGTATTTACATCAAGGTATGATAAATAAAACTAGATTTGCCATCCCAACATTTTCAGTCTGATGTGACCTGCTGGCTGGAGTTAAGAAACGAGATACTTTCTACCTGTTGCTCATTGTTGTCTTGTATCCACAGGTCCGTTAAAGTCGTGTGTAAAAGTGAAACCATGAAGACAAAAGTCACTGTTCTACTTCACAATCATCCAGAATTTTATTCAAATTATCAAGTGCATAAAATCACTTCGACAGTATTGAACTAAAGAAAGCAAGGCAGTTGCAGGCCTTTAAAATTCTGATGCTTTTCATGGGTCAAATAGACTCAAAAAATTGTAACAGCAGCTGTGTAGGGGGCCCAAACAAATTTTTTGTCAGGGGGCCCAAGATTCCTGGCAGCGCCCCTGATTGTACCTCAATATGTATTTTACTTATCCATGTTTACCTTGTGAATCACTTTGTGCTGTTGGAAAAGAAATTTGACATTGGCAATTAAGTTTTAAACCAAACCAGGAAGATATAAGAATAATTTCAAGCCACAAATGTAAACAGTGCCTTGAAAATGCATAAACAAATATTAAAAACCAAACACGAGACAACATGCAGCTAGAGAATCAACCACCAGATGGCAGCAAACAAGCACTTTTTGCAAGCAACCCCAGAGTCCCGTCCTCAAGCTTTCTACTGAATAACGCCAACTTGGTGGACTTCAACACATCCACAAATTATTTATCTTTTTTTCCCAACATAGCACTAAATAAAATCCGTTTCTCTTGTCCTTACAAAAGCCCCATTTCTCTTGGTCCAGATGTTTGATCAGACTGGTTTATGAGAAATCACTCAAAGCAACTCGTGTGAATCTTCAGTGTATCCTCAACGATAGGCAGAGACTGGATCATCACAAAGAGCCGTGTTTCTGTCTACCCCAGAATGAAGCTGCTGCTGAACTGCAGCACTCCATCCGGGACAAACTGCTGCATCCTCAGTGCACAAAGGAGCGTCAAAGCAGATC